AATACTCATATATGTATAGAGGTACATATACCAATAAATACACATAATATTTAGTTTGAGAAAATGCAATAAAAAACATTATCTTGTGCCTCTGCAAATATTTACAGAAATATGTTACCATTTATCGTTTATTGAAAAGCTCAGCTCTATATGATTTGTATTAAAATCTTAGATCTTATATATTTACATAATATGATCTAGGATTGAAACAAAAATTATTTTGAAAGGGTACCTATATTATAAATTAGTAGAAATATTTAATAAAAATTTTTTTTATTAAATTCTGTAACTCTAACACCTTTAGAAAAAATAAAATTAACGTGTTCTAACTAAACTAAAATATCTACACAAAGTGTTCTTAAAACTTAATCAAATATTCCAAATTGTTGCTGACTTTAAAAATGATAAAATTTTCATTAAAGAATATATGCGACATTATCTTTATTTAGAGATTTTATAGCAAAAAAAAATGTTGGTCAATCTGACCTGACCTAAAACTATCGAGGAGCATCAAGCGAGACACTTTTTTTTTCTCGTGAATTCTCGGCAGATATTGTTTGATCTTTTATACTCGGTTTATACATGGTTGTGATACTGATAGGTAGGTACTTTTCAAATTTCAAATTTTCAATTTTTCTTTTTTTGCAAGAATCACGAGTTACAGCCTTACGAAACTCTTTTTTTGAGGTACATACCTACCACACCTTTTTCTAGTTTTGAGTTTTTTAATTGTTGACATTGTCGACATTGTATACATTGTCGACTCTTCCAAATTAAGTCTTCATCTAGATTATTGTCTACGCGTAGACAATTGCATTGTCTACGTCGACATTGTCTACCCGCCCATCCCTGTTCACATATTGCATCGTCGTTCCATCATGTTCGTTTGTGGGCTCACCAATATGTTTTAATTGTTTGCCTTGAATATCGTACTGTTTTTCATTGGTAAGTTTGAAGCCGACGCCTTGCGAACCATGTTTACTTACACAATGCACCCCTTTTCGACATCCAAATTTATCGATGGAGCCCATCGTTCTCTTGTGTTCAGATTACAATTAATGTGGATTAAACTAGCATCGTCTTTATATATTTATGAAATAAGTGTGAGCGATAGTTATCTAATATATAATTCCTTCTTCCCTTAATTCTTCTATTATGGATAATACCTCATTTTCATGACCTGAATGGCCAGCCATTTTAGAACTCCACAGTAATCTTAAGCGGACAATTAATTCTTTGGGTTTATTCCAATACATATAGTCCACTTTTTTGCTGGTATATATTTTTTAGTAGGTATTATACCGGAACCTTTCATGGATCGAATTGCCATTCTGCGATGTAATAGTGGTTTTATAACATCGACATACTTTCTTGTTCTACTGTAGTCATACCCTGATGTTACATCGTAGTTTTTGTATGCTGCATTCATTATATTCAATATGTCTCGAAATATATTTCTATTTTCATCACTAATTCCAGAGCCGGCACTGCTTAGGTCTGGGGGAAATTTTAGAAATAATAAATCATATAACTGAGGGTTTCCTTTATACGTTCCAAGCTTTTTATTATTTCTCCAAAATGTTATATTCTTACCCTGGAATCGCACCTCTGAATCACCCATAGCTAACTTTCCAGTATCGACGTTAATACGCACTCCATATTTGGTATCGAATGCAGAATCGCCGGCTCTTACCCCGTGGATGTAATTTGAAACGATACTAGGTATTTTTTTCAATATCACTACTAGACCTGTTAGAACTTGAAGGCGTCACCGAAGATGATGGTGGAGTTTCCATATAAGAAGGATTTTCCATAATTGTTTCATCTGCTTGAATTTTTGGTGTTTTTGCCATAGCACTATAGGTTGGGATTTTTTTAACTGGTGTTACTAAATACTGTTGCGTAGACTGAAATTTACGATTTGTTTCCTGAGTTGTTTCAGAAATAGTTTTTAATGATTTCGTTAATGGTTCGTATATTTTTCCAGCACCATTTGATTTTCAATATGTCTGTTTTTTATATAACTGAATTTTCTTCGAATAGCATCCGTTGTTTCTATTAATTTACGTTTCAAATCTATTTCACTAACATTGTTTTCGTTCTTTTCATCCTTATCGACTATAGCTTTCTTCATTTTTTGATGTGTACCCATCATCGCTTTCTTCACAATTAATGTAAAAATTAGTATACACTATGGATATATGTAACTGTCCAGACCTTTTCTGTATCTACCTTCTTTTAGTTCTATATCTTTATCAATTACTAGAAATCCATATTTATCATTCCAACATTTTGCACACATGTCCAAAAACTCTTTGAATGTGACGTCCGGTGACACATGGTCCTGAAATATATGATGCAAATTCATTTCATCTTGTTTAAACATTATAATAAAATTCGAATTATCTCTGATTAGTTGTTCGGGACTCTAGAATATGTTTGAGCCAAATAAAAACTATCTATGGATTTATGTCTACCCATACTAAAATATGACCTAATAATATCTTGTTTCTCACATATAACATCGTCAAATATAAAAATCGAGTTCGGTTTAGCTTCAGAAGGATCAACAATGTCAACATTATTGTTAAATGTGTAAAATCCTAATCCATCAATAGGATGCAATATTTTTCGAAGATATTCATATTTTGGTTGATACAGTGATTTGGAGTATAAATAAATATTGGCAAAACGTAGACCATGTGGATGTGTAATAAGAGAAATCATAACGTTAGTCTTCCCACAGTTCGAAGGACCAATAAGAAGCGCTCTAATTGATGAAGGCAGTAGCGACCCATGACGATTATTGTTAATATTTACACCACTTCCCACATGTGCATCGAAATTGTCCACTACAAACGAATCCTTCTGTTTTACAATCCGCATTGCTTGGGTTTTGGATACTATATAACTAGAAATGAACTGTGTGCACAATATTTAATTGACTGCTAGCATTCTCAGTACGTCGACGATCAGTTGTGTTAGAAGATAAATACATGTATTTTTTTATATAGATAAATATATTACACTTTTTTTGCGCTCATTTTAATGCCGTTCGTCAACCAATCTAGACATAAAGTGTTTCTTTCATGAACAGGGAAAGGATTTATAAATTCTTTAATAAATAAACTTCCATTTGAAGTACATTTACCGGGAG